ATGTAGTATACCAAGGATGCAAGCTAGTTGCAAGTGGCTCCGGTCCACTTCCTGGAGCAGAGGTATTCGACGCAGAAGTTGTGGGTGCCATGAAAGCCTTAAAGGCTGCAATAGAGGTAGGAGAAGACTTACTGATCTGCATTTTTCTGGACAACCAAGCGGCCATTCAGGCGCTCGAAAGAGGAAGATCTAACTCCTCGTAGTCGGTGGTGGACAAGTTTTCATCGCTGAGACAATATAAGCGTGTGGAAATACGCTGGATACCCGGGCATGTGGGGATTCAAGGCAATGAAGGGGCCGATAAGCTGGCCAAATTAGCCTTGGGAGCTCCCAATAACCGGTCACTAACCTCAGCTGCGCCCAGTGGAGAAGATCAAGATCTAAACTTTGCGGCATTAGGGAGGTGGGCTAAACAGCGCAGCCGAGAGCTCGTGGAAGAATGGTGGCATAAGTATCTACCGAAACGATACAAAGATCTGGACCTATTCATGCGTTGCAAAAGACCACCGGAACTAGCTTTACCAAGATGGGCGTACCATCGTCTTATTGCGGCAAGAACAGGCCACGGGGACTACGCCGACTACCATCGACGTTTCAACCCCGAACATGAAGATCTGAAATGCGTTTGTGGCCGAGAGAAAAGGCCCTGGCATTTTTTAGAGTGCCGACCTGCTTTGCTACGTTAGAGAATCTATGAGAAAATGGCCCCACCTGGTGCCAGGGAAATGATAGGGGAGAAGGGATGGCAGAAGTTCATTCATTTCTTAACTACAAGCCGATGTTACAGTCTGCTGAAGAATGAACAGGGTGGGAGGTGACCACGCTGAGATTGTTTCTGACCCGAGAGGAGATGAGTGTGGAAGATAGGGATGCGGCGCAGGGCACCGTAACTCAGACATATACTGTTCATTATTTTTTCTTTTCTTTTGTCGCTTCTGGCTCCACTGCCGGTCTTTTTTTTTTTTGCATCAGATTTTAATTGCGTATGCAGCTATCTAGCTATGACACAATATCAAAGAAAAGATGACTCAATTTACAAGAGGAGCACTCATGCCTCGGATTTCATTTGCAAGTACCACTGCGAAGTTATGGTGGCTTTTTCTTCACCCCAAGTCAACCCTCATCCGTGAATACCCACCCAGGGGAACGTCTCAAAAAGCCAGAGTTATCCAGACATGCCTCCGTCATCCATCAACTTTTCTCCGCGCGAAATATAATCTGAAATGTCTCCTTCCCAAGTGGAGTAGGTGCCCAGGCTACTCAAACTATACCAGAGAATATCACCAGGAGGCGGATCACAACACCTTCCATCGTCGGCTTGTTTTTATAGTGTCAGCTGCACTCTCGCAAGCGAAGTCTTGGCGCGCACAAAGCTCAATTCGTAAAACTCTTACCAATCTTCGAAATTTCACGCCCGTCGAGAATGTATCCCTCTTCTGCATCATCTTGTAAACTTGTTATGATCCCTCTCACTTCCATCCCAAAGAGCTATCTCCCAGATTTGTGCTCCACGCTTTGCTTCCTCCGTCGGGTATAAATATCGGCGTGGGCGTTTATTTGGTGACCGGCTGAGGCCAGAGAAAGTCGACGAGAGGTGTGGTCATTGAAACGAGGATGTACTAGGTCGTACTTGTAGACTTGAAGCTTAGTTGGGAATCGGACTCTTTGGGAGTGAAAGATTGACATGGTGGAGTAATTTGAAATTTTGCCTCGTGGGCCAACTTCTTTGATATTGCGAAATTTGACTGAACTCGACTATGGGAGAATATTTCACTCCCAGGTTCGTAGAGGACACCGCGTATAGGTGTTCAGTCTTGCCCTCCCCACTGCCGGTCATGTAGGTAGCAATGAGCTTTCAGAGCCTATCTACCCGTGTCACGTCTAAATAGATGTTAGGTTCTCCCTGTCACGTAAAAGATTTCAAAGTCAATTTCAAATTAACTACCCCTTCATCTTATCACGAATTAAAATTACTATTAGAATTCTAATTACGGAACCGTGAAATTCTTCTTGCGATAATGCCAATTTTGGTATTGATGGCTCACTTGATTTAAGCTTTGGATTTTTGAATAAAGTTTGTTCTAATTCGACACTCTTCAGTGAAATATCAGAAAACCTCCACAAGAACTTGTACTGCATCTTGCATATCTTTAATTCCAGCCAAGCTGTGTGCTTTTTTCACAGATTCAAGGACAGGTGCTGGAGCAACTATGTGGTTGATGGTAGTAGATAATAATTCTAAGGAGAGAACTACTACAGGATCTATCTAAACATGTATATATATAAAATAGCCTCATGTTCTACGACGTCATTGCACTATCAATTGATGAGGTTGTGAACGATCTCGTATATTCCCAGCCGATAGCTTGTCACCAACAAGTGGTGCCATGTTGAGCTGCACTGTTGAATCGGATGCTATGTAGATTCCGATTCTCAGATATTAGATCGATCGATCGTGCGCACCCCGAATCGGACCAAGCCTATGTTAGTCGACATAGGCTACAGGAACCAGCTGTCACAGCTTTGACCTATAAATTTCTAGGCTCTTGGAATTTTAATAATTAGGTGTGTTGTCTGGTGATTTTTAGTTCCGGTATTTTTATGATATTCCTGGAATTGATGACAGGGGAAATAGATTCTTATAGTTTTCTTTTTTTCGACTTAATTTTTGGTAATTTATTTTTAGAAGATTTAGGTTCTAGGTCTTATGCAGTAATCGGGTCGCTGCTAAAGGGTCATCTATACTATCAGGTTCAGATTGTTGGAAGGGACTGTGGCAACTCTGAAATTTTGGGGAAATTTTTGCTCCAGATTGAGTCTGAGAGCCTCGCAACATTCTTAAAATTAAAAGATCCTTGCGGTGGCGTAGATGATAGAAAGTTCTATGTTAAGTCTGATGATTGAGATCCTAATCCATCCATCATTGGAAATAAATCCTTTCAATAAATTTAATTTCATTAAATTTTGATTTTGATTTCATTTAACCCGATTTGGCGTCCTACAGGCCTATGCGGGCGGCTCTGAACCTACCTATGTATTTAAATGAGGGGGCTACCATTACGTTAAAAGCCTCCATATTAAATTTTTTTATATTTCTGTAGTTCTTCTTTGCCTGCAGTATGTGTGTGTTTTTATTGTACTACTTGATTCTATGACTATCTAGCACATTGGGCTCCTCTCTGACCCAGGCCACACCTTGTACAGTGCTCCTTGCCTCTTCTGTTACTTGAAAGATCATTGATATATTCCCATTTATGAATAGCCATTCAGCTTAGTATTTACCCGTGGAATTCGGCCACCTTTTCCACCAAACCTTCTACCCAAAAAAAAAAAAAAAAAATAAGGTAGCAATGGAAACTGCGTGCGCGGGAAAAAGTCTCAAAAACCCTGCGGCCCCAGCCAGGCGAGGCCTAGACACCGACACCACATGAGCTGCGCATTTTCATCTATATCTCCCTTCTTTGTGACAGTTGAGGCCGACTTGATCCAATCCACCATCTCCGTATCGGGCGCTGGGTAAGCTCCGGAAACTCATCGGATGGCTTTTCCTCTATGATCAAGGGTTAATGATGAGAAGGGCTTTGAACCTACTATCTGATCTGATCGTGGTTAGCTTCATGATAATGGTGATAGGGGAATGTGTTGAGGGATGAAGACGATACAGACCACGAAAGCGATTGGGAATCCTCGTCGGAGTGAGGACTTTGTTACTCAATCTCGGCTCTGCAGACTCTACAGTGAGAGCTGAAGGTTTGTAGGGGGGCACCACTGACAGGTGTTGAGAATAGTTCCCCTATGGCTGCAAAGCTATAGCTGCCTGACGAAGATCTGGAGCTTGGTAGGGAGAGAGAGCCACCATAGTAATGCCTGTTATGACAGGACGAATGTCCTTCATTAGCTTTAGGCGATCTAGAAGGCTTCTCAACTTTGTGCTGACGAGGATGGAATCTTCATGTTGCAAGGGATGATCAAGTGCAAGTTGTACCAAGATCCTTGAATCGGGCTTGAATTTTTCAGCTAATGTTAAAGCTCTTTTTGTACTTTTGGGTGGATGGAATAGGACAGGCGGGGCTATCTTCGTCAAATTAGTTTATAATAGGGATGATTAAATTGCCGGCAGGTTGTCAGAATTTGCATTTTCTTTAGGTTTTGAAGCAGCTGCTGACTGGACGAAAACTGGCAGGCTAGAGATAACACGTGCGGTGCTATGGGTCACGATAACTTTCAAATCAGCTGCAATAGCTCGTAGGAGAGCGTGGAGGTCTTGTACTCCGGCGTTTGCCATACCAGTAGTGATGTAACAATATCGTTAGTTATAGCCGGCGAGAGATGGTTGATAACGCGCATTGCTGTATGCGCATGAGGGAAGGTAGATTTAGTATCCAGCTCTGATGTATCTTCAGGCTGATATTTGACGGCAGCGTGTATAAAGCTGGAGATGCCTGTACCAGGGTTCTTTCATGAAGCTTTAGAGTCTTCCTGTCGACTCGGGCGCTGGTAGTGAGAAAGACAGATAGTCACTTTCTGACCCTGAATCCATCAACCAATTTTCCTAGTAAATGAGAATCGATCCAGATGGAGATTGGTCTCTCGGCAGCAGTTGCAATAATAACTTTTTCCTGTTTAGGTGGAAATGATGACTTTAGTCCTGCGCTTCCAGAAATGCGTGGTACAACTCTCGCTGGTATTGTGAGCGCAGCGGGCTTTTTTTCGTCTACCTGGGATTATGCTGTCTTGATCTTGACCCCATAGAATTTGTGTAGTTGGATTTTTTGATTACATATGTGCCCTTGCAATCATCCTGAACGATCTGTAATCATCACGTGGTCCTGAGGGAAGTAAGCACATCTCGAACCTCTTACTTACAGCACTATTTAATCAGTCTGCTAATTTTGGCAACTAGAGACACAGCTCAGGAGAAATACGAAAGCACGATTTTTAACCTGAATATAACGATAGAAACACTAAGGTTTGCAATCTTGTGACTCCACGGAACTACCATGTCCTCGTCAAAAGCTACTAGGATTGGCGAAGAGTAAAGAACCCTATCATTTACCATACTTGGCCAGCTCACTAACAGTATCTCAGGGTATGGAAGTGAGTCTGAAATTACAGCAGTAATGTGTCGAGTGTACTTACTTAAATTAGAAGTCGCGTTGATAAAGTCAACTCTGAATTGGTGATTTTGACATATGGGACCATTGTAGCTCAGCTATGCAAAGACTACGAGAACGACTACATTGAAGTCAACAAACAGTTGGATAGAATGGGATATAACATCGGCTTACGACTAATTGAAGATTATTTGGCAAAGAGCAATGCTATGAAAAGATGTGCGGACTTCAAAGAAACAGCAGAGATGATTGCAAAGGCGAGAAGACATTTTTTTACTCTTTTTTCTATTCATCAAGACACTATCGGTATTTGCAGATATCGCAACTTTACCGCTGGGTTAATCTGAGTGCTTTGTTTGGAAGTTCTAGCTGACAATTTTTAAAACAGGTCGGCTTCAAAATATTTCTAAATATAACTCCCACAATATCATCCTGGACTACAGATTCCAAACAATTCTCCCTCATCTTTGATGAAAATCCACTGGCAGATTTTGTGGAACTCCCAGATGATGGCAGAGCACAAGATGAATTGTGGTATTCCAACATTTTGTGTGGTGTTCTTAGAGGGGCTTTGGAAATGATACAAATGCAAGTGGAAGCTAAGTTTATCGCTGATGTACTAAGGGGTGACGAGCAGACTGAGATAAGAATTAGCTTAGTAAGGTATGTTGATGATGAAATGCCGGCCGATGATGAATAAAACCACAATTATCGTAAGCACGGCGTTCGGCGTTGGGACATTGATCAAACTAAAGCATCATTCGGCTAGTTTGCGCTTGGAGCAATCAGGAGTATAATCTTTTTAGAATAAACTCAAGTTAGGTGAGTTTAATCGAAATTTGGTATGGTTGTTATACAAGCAAACCTCAAGATAATGTAATATCTGGCCCAAAGTTGTCTAGCGATGCAAATATGAAGTGAGCACACGGGACACACTTCTTGTTTATATATAAGAAAAGCACCCGGAGTCTACAGTCTAAGCTGTCCATGTGGCTACCAATCGCAGAACCCCAAGCACATAATTATATCCTGCCCTCGATGGTCAAATGGAAGATGATAGGTTTGGAGACAAGCCAAAGACCGGTCCTACGAAGCTATGACAAATCATACAGTGGATCCTAATTCACGGTTGGATAGAGCAATTCTAGATGATAAAGGCGGTCTCAATGCTACTGATGGAGAGGGACTGTTAAGCAATTCTTGGGTTCGAAAGAGATTATATGATTTGGTTTACATGGATGTGCACTCTAAAGTAACTGCGCTTCCTGAAGAATACATAAGGAAAAAACTATATAATTGACAAGAAGATTTTGGGTGAGATTCCTTCAGAAGTTTTCCTCCCATGTGTCGCGGGATCAATTGATGTTTGTAGAAAACACGGCAAGTACGAACGTAAGGCCAGTTAATTATTCTAATTTACACAAGAAACCCGAATCGTTACATCTATCTATACTAATTATACTTCTTTCAATATCATGGTGATGGGGTACACGGCATTGATTACCAGCTTAGACAACCAGACAAGCAACAACCTATGTTGGAATGAAATAACAATTATTATATAAATAAAGACTTAACAAAACTAGCGTAAACTTTTCCAGTCATATATACAACATTCGTAGTCCACGAGTGATCCAGCTCTGTAGAGCCAACACTAATGTCTTCTAATCGTGTCCTTTATTCGTCTCATAAACGGAGCGATTGATCAATTTTGCCGCCTCTTGCTTAATCTCCGAAGGCCAATATCACGTGACCTGGATCTTCCTCAACACAACATGTCATGCAGATTTCCTGCCCAACTGGTGACCACTAACAGTCAGATAAATATGTGACCCATGCGTTATTTACCCCGTTAGAATATTGTATATACTAGGCCTCAACAATTTACCTCGCGGCAACCGGTCTCACCAAAGCTCTCCTGGTAATTATCAGCCTCGTGTAGCATATGTTGCCTAACTCAGTATTGTCGCAGCCATTGCCAACCTCACGGATCTATCCCGTAAAACCATGTGACTTAAATAATATGATAGACACCTGCATAGGTCCATAGGGCGCCAAATCAGGTTAAGAGAAATCAAATGTAATATCTGACCAATTTCTTAGCTCAAATCAAGACTGTAAATAAACCAACTATTTCTGGAGGGCAGGACTGAACACCTGAACGCGGCGTCCTCTACGAACCTGGTAGCCGGCAAAGACGAATTCTTGACCTTCCAGTGTTGCCAGCGTAATCGCTCATTATACTCTACATATCTGAGATAGCCGAGAAGAATCGCATCCTAACCGAAGTCGAAAGCAAACACATGCATATCTCCATTTGACGACTTCTCAATCGTGCAGCACTCCCCATTATCTTCTGAGTCCTCAACCTCTATCTAACCACATATCATCTCGCCTCGACGACTAATAAAGTTGTCAGCCCAATTGCAAACAGGAGCTTGCCTCATTCATTACTGGACATCACTCAATTCATATTTACGATGCTACGTACACCCGCAAGGAGGAAAAAAACCCGAATATTTCAAAGTTGGGGTCTTGGTTTATGAGGGACTGTTGCCTTAATGAGATTATATATCTTGAGAAAGGAGAGGCGGCTGAGATGTGGAGCGAGAGGGGGAACAGGTCTCTGAAGACTATTCTGGGAATATCATTTACGAGGGGCCTTCAACTTTGGAACATTTTTGGGCGCCATGACCGAGATTCCGGCTAGTAAGTCAGGAGGAGTTCAATTGTCGATGAGTCAACGGCACCCTCAAGAGCCCTGGACGGCACAAAGGAAGTTGGGCTAAGCTACCACACAGCAACCTCGCTCTATCAAGACTTTTCTAACATTTCATCACGACCTTCGGGAAGCAAAATAGAAAGCTAGAGAGTGAATTTTCTGAGGTGCCCACAAGTTTGCAGCGCCCAGCTGGCCGGCCTCTTTGAACGCTTCAGAGGGGCCACTATTTCTTCGGATTTAGTCCTAATGTCGGTATTAGGAGAGCTCCGCACTCAGTGGTTTTTGCGATTTTTTCCGGCCGTACACCCGCAAATGGCCATCGTTTCGTTGGCTGGAGAGGGGAGATGATGAAGGGCAAAGGGCTCCTCTAAGTGTATGATTGAATGAGGACTTGTGAGGGGTGGTACTGTTTAAGGGGAGCTGTATGGAAGGTATAGGAGGGGATATACTACTGGCATAGGTATCCTTGACCTGTAGGCAGAGAGAACCTGCATGTCCTACACAGTCATAGACTCAGAAAGGACAATCAAATTAATTCACAAATCTAGAAACCTGGGAGTGAAATATTCTCCCAGAAACAATTTCAGTCAAATTTCGCAATATTGAACAAGCTGGTCCACAAGGCAATGATTCAAAATACTCCACCATGTCAATCTTTCACTCCCAACGAGTCCGAGTCCGAATCCTATCCAAGCCTCATCAAGTCTACAAGTACGACCTAGTACATCCTTATTCCAATGATCACACCTCTCGTCGACTTTCTCTGGCCTCAGCCGGTCACCAAATACACGCCCACGCCGATATTTATACCCGACAGAGGAAGCAAAGCGTGGTGCACAAATCTGGGAGACTGTTTTTTAGGATGGACGTGAGAGGGATCAGGACAAGTTGATAAGATGATGCAGAGGATGGATACATTCTCGACGGGCGTGTGATTTTGAATTTTGGTAAGAGTTTTACGAATAGAGCTTTGTGCGCGCCAAGTCTTCGGTTGCGAGAGTGCAGACGACACTATAAACACCGCCATGGTTGGATGGTGCTGTGGTACATCGTCATGGCCGGTCTACCAAGTAGAGTCTGGACAGCTTGGACACATATCCCACTCGAGATAGTAGATTGCTGGTTCAAATGCGGCAAAACACAACCACTTTCTCGCGGCGCTGATATGCATGGATGACGAAGGCATGTTTGGATAACCAAGGGTTTCGAAATTCCCTTTGGTGGGTACTAACAGAGGAGGGTCGACTGTTTGTGTAAGCGAACATACCTCATAGTGGTATTAGCGAATGAAATCGAGAGAATGAGTGTCTCCAATGTCAAAAGAGTCATCCCACTTGTATACATAGCACCGGTCATGTGTTATAGCTCTGTAGCTGAATACATATTAAATGATTAAAAAAATAACTCCCCTATCCTTCTAAATCCGAGCCGAGGTGTGTGTGGTATAAGGGCTCTCCACATCCTTCAGCCTTTAATGTTATTGTTCCTCAAACATAGAAATGCCTTAGGCTTCTGCCTAAGTTCTATAAGCTCTAGCCTATGACACTAAAGCCCAAATGCGGGCCTCGAATTGGATTCGTCGTCTTCTAGGACAATTTGTACTGGCTGGATGTCGGTTTCTCGCCTGAAAATAATAGGGGGCGTGGTACGCCAAGTCGTAAAGCTGCTCGGATCCCAGGTATAGTGGCTTGATCAATAGCTTTGCACTGATTCCCCTTAAAATTTGGCACAACACTGTCAGGATCTCTTGGGACTTGGTTACTTAGCTTGAACTGGAGGCGCTAAATCTTGGGCTCTTGATGGTAAAGAAAATATAACAACAATAAAGACTTGGTTCTTGATTCTTTATTCTTGATTCTTGGGTATCTAGGGAATAGTAAAAGACTGAAAGCTGAAGAGCTTTCGACATGAAGATACCTCAGCTACTTATACTACAACACTATCTGCTACAGACTACAGTAATCTAGTTCCAGCCCGATTCCTATCGAACTCCTGAGAGTAACCTAGAATCTGATCGAAGCCCATTGAACTGGTAAGAGTACAAAATACCATCCCAAAACATCTAGAAACTAATTGCCAGAGTAGCTTAGAATTCCATCGAAGTAACTAGAACTTGTCTAGAGGGATACCAGCCGAAGCTAGGATCAGACTCTACCTCAATACCATGAATCTATCCATGACATAGCAGTAGCCATATAGTCTAAGAGCCAGAGGTTGGCAGGATAATATCTCCGCCTCAGTCAGTCCGTGACAAACACCTCTGTATGCTTCTCTGATAAGGCCTAGCCACTAGACCTCGACAGCGTAATTTATACATATGAGGACTACAGTGCAAATGACAGTTGTTAGTAAGTCAGGCCTTGGTCTTTGGATGCACCTAGTTAGTCTTCGGAAGTGCTGAACTATTCCCATTCCTATGCTGGCGCGGTTGGCAACATGACCTTCAAAAGTCGGGCCTCGATCCAAGTTAACCTCATGCTATCGAATTTCGTCCGACGCATTTACCTCCAGAGCACTGACTTCCATTGGTGGCAGGTCAAATCTTTTGGCCTTTGGGCCGAGGAAGTAGACTACTTCAGTTTTTTCGGGGTCAAAAGATACAGCGCTTTTATAAGTCCATGCCAGCACCGTGTTGGCTCTTTGCTGGGCCGCTGTTGTAACTTCGAAGGGGTCGAACTAATTCTGTTGGAAATTTTGACTCTCAAATTTAGAACTAAATTGTGTTGGAAATTCTGACTCTCGAATTTAGGACTCAACCGCCATCTGTTTCGTCTTAGGTTCCCGACAAGATCGACTCTCTCTACATATATGGATCCCAAGAATCCTGGTCGTCTACGTAAGCCAGAGGCAAGATCAGGCCTACGCTAAGACAAGTAAGACGGAGTCAAATTCCAGGGAAAGAGAGCAACTATCAGTGCGTAGTAAAGAGGCAAATAGTATTCAGGGATGGAGCACGGTGTGTAAAAGGTGGCGAGGAG